TCTCCATCCTTCTCTCAAAGCCCAGTTTTCCTGTGATTAGTTTTTAAATTTCTTATGTCAGTTTTCAGTTAAGCATTTTAAGGTAACACCATTTAAAAACAACTGTTGACAGTTTAACACAGAACAGTATAATCTGTTTGGGTATTTACTCATCAGTGAAGCCATTACAGACAGACAGAAAGAGGCACTAGCAAACATGTAGGCAGAAAATACTTTTAGCAACATCAGCAACAAGAAGGCCATGGTTGTGCACTGTACCAAGCCTTGTAAAAGTTGCACAAACTTTGCCATCAGAGTAAGGAAAAATCAAGAAACAAACTTGGGTGTCAGAGCTTTCTTGTGGAACTATGCTTTTACATTTCAGCCTTTCGTTAAAGCAAGAAGTAAAGGATGATGGCAGCTTCTCTTTTCCTGCCCACCTTTCCTCCTACACCATAGGAATAAATTATCACTGATTAAATTAATATGCTACATTAATTTACAATTAAGTGATCACTAGCAATAAAGATATATAATGCACATTCATAGTAATTGTAGAGCACAACTCAACACAAACTTGGCAAATTTTCCCACACATCTGCTTATTCCCTACACACAAGTAGTAAGGATAATTGTCATTTGGACCCACTGAACATCGCTAGAAACAAAGTGAGAAAACGCTATTTTTTTAAAAAGCTTCTTAGCCTCTATATAGATTTAAAATCTACTGCTTTCTAAGCTGCCCATCATACAGTAACTGTTTTCTTTTTACAGAGATCTATCCTTTTCATACGATGTTCTGATTTTGTACCTATTCTATAGATGTCAATCAAAAAACTGTTAACACCATTTATACTAATGCAAAACACAAATATATCTGTTCATTACATACTGTATTGAAGCCATGGGATAAAAAGAATAAACTAGAACACACAAAGAAGATGAGGGTATGCTTGTTTGTACTTGGTAAAACTCCTAAGTATTTTGAGCTTCCAAGAAAAAGAAAAAAAAAAAAAAAAAGAAAAGATTAAAAAGAAAGGGTGTTACACTTGTGGGTTTTTTGGTTTTTTTTGCTAGAAAATATTTGTCAGTATATTTTTTTCCATAGGAAAAAATCTGCCAAGAATTTATAATATCTAGGAACTGTAGAACATGCTGTTTCTGTATTACATTATACTGCATGTAAACAACATTATAAGAATTACTTATTCCACAAGTAATGGCAGAATAAACATTGTATAGAAGCTGGGTCTTTGTGAGCATATGCAATATACTATGCAGCTTTCACTTGGTCTTACCTATGTGCCCCATAGTGGGTAAGAATCATGCTGGAATCTAACTGTCAGTGGATTACAGTGAGGTTCGGTAGCCAGGTTTTGGAGCTGATTTTATCATAGAACAAAATAATGAATTGGCCACACATATTTAAGGGACTAGAAGTAAGATACCAAAGGATTGGACTGGGTCACTCTTAGTAAAGGAGAAGTTAAAATTACAGAGAGATCCAATCTAGTTAATAGCAATTAATATACTTGTATGTATGAAAAACAAAGGTAACGGAACAAAAGCAATGGTACAAAGAGCTTTTCTCAGATGCAGACACTGCAGAAAAGATGACACCAGAGTTCATTGAAGAGCCGGAAAACAAGTGCTTTTCCACCCTTGTTCTCTCTTAATAAGCAGGAGAAAGACTACCATGAGCCCTATTTTTCTATCCCTACCACTATGAAGGAAAACAGTTGATCCAAAACTACGTGAGACTACAGAAAATGTGTGGCACAGAAAAGAGGTATTTTGAAATGAATACACTAATATTTTCAAATTTTAAAGAGCCTTAAATCAAAGCAAGGACAAATTCATTATTATAGTCTTGCTACGGTTGTAAAACAATGCATAGCACGCAGATTGGCCACAGGCTGGAGTGCAGAAAAACATTAGCTTCATGTAAGCATTGACTAATGGTTGTAGAGATTCTTATGTTAATAGAAATCACAGAAATTTGAGAACTAAAACGTTTATTATGTCATCTAATCTATGTAGTTGGCAGGAAAGGATTTGTTCCCTAAAGCATATTTTATATAGTTTTATTCAATCCAATTTTAAATGGCAGAGCAATGAAGCTTCCACTGTGTTATTTCAGAAAACTGATTTGTTTATTGTTTGAATTAATTTGACCAGCTTTAGCAAACATGCTCAAGATGCTGTTCTTAATAAAAATATGGAATGCCCTCAGTAATTTATGTTAGCATTAAATTGCCAGTGAATATCTGATCTATAAGTTCTGTTGAAATATATCTTTACATATAGCAGGCTGTTTTTTTAATATTAAGAAATGCAGGAATCTCTAAGCTGTTGGCAGTTGGTTTCTGATGCAGATACAAAATTTTATCCAAATTGATGTGCTTCAGTAATCAGTTCAATACGATTCATAACTCAGCTTTCTTAAGTTCAAGTTAAATTTCTTTAAGTTAAATTTCTGAATGATTTTTTTGCATATTTCCAAGCTCAAGTAGGGTGGAAATACCAGGAGTTACATTTTTTTTCACAACATTTTTATATTATTACTTCTTCAAGAATTCGGAATTGACAAAAAAAAAAAAACCCTGAAAATTAGTGATAAATATTCTTTTAGTATTGATGTCACATTTGAAAATATAATATTGCTCTTATATAGAGGATTGGTAACATTGAAGGAATATTTTACAATAGAATTCAACCTGATTTTTCATGCAACTCTAGCAAAATTATACATCCGCTGTAAATTTAGCATGCTAATGAAGATATTCATATATAAATGTAATACGCTCTGACAAAGCTTCCAAGAAAGACTTGATTTCTTAGATTGTATCTAAAATTAATGTTGGCTGTATATATCGATTACACAGACACACACACATATATGGATAATTTAATATTTTCTTTGCTGTTTGTGGGGAATATACAACTAAGCTGCAGATTCAGTTACCTCAATGTAAGGTTTGTGCCCCTAAACCATCTGGTTTATATGGGAAAAAAATTACAGGATTAAAAGACTGAAGTTAAATCCTCTGTAAGAGCACTTTTTCAGTGGAGAATATTTTCCAAAGTCATAAGGAACATACTTTAAAAAAATCAGCCATTTAATGAACTATGGTGGAATCTGTATTTACTGTACATGATACCATCTTTGTGGCATACGGAGATTGTCTTTCTGTTTGAGCTGCCTAAAATATTACGCCGGTCTCAACCTTGGAAACATTTCTTAAGTATTTACTGTACTATAACAGAGATCTTTTGCCAGAAGAGTCACTGCAGAGCCTTGGGCTCTGAGGGGGCTTTCCATATTAGGGGTTTTCTTGCTCTGGATTAAGCATGCCAACAGTAGTTAGTTGCCGTTCTGTATTTAGAACTGGTTTGCAGGGATGGATTTGGGTAAGAAATGATGAAACTTCTTGCATTTCATTGAGCTAAGCTTACTCCCACAAGACAACTTAAGGAGACATTCGTTAAGAAAACTCTCACAAAGTATTCAGTGCTACATGAGCTACAGCAGATTTCTGAATGCTTCAATAATTAGGCACTTTTCCACCGCAGTTCTAATGGCCCCAAAAGACTGTGTCGACTGTGCTTTTAAAATATATATGTGTATATATATATATATATAATTTATTTTTTTTACACTGTACTGGATAGTTACTGTAGATCCTCAAAAATGACTAACAATATTTAAATAGAAAAATAGTGAACTATCAGCTTATATAATATAATTTCAGGAAAATACCGAACACCTTTTTAATCATGAGACAACATCCTTCTACAAAATAACTTTGTAACTCCACTTAATTAAAGCAAAGCAAAATACATTTCATTTAATTTATAATAAAAATTGCATAGCAAATCCAAGCAGAACATTCAAATTTAAGGTTAGCCCTTAGGTCACTTAATTCCTATAGTAACTTTTTAATGTCCAAATTCCCTTTCTGTACCATAACTATATAGCACCAAAAGACTTCTCCCCGGGTAGCAGTAGCAGTGCATAATCCTAGCATGGCCACCTGTCTGAGTTTACCATGTAATCCCATAATATACGACATCAGTAGTGGCTATCTATAATCTTGTATTTATTTGTCATATCAACACTGTAGTTTCAATGTTCTAATGATGTCACCCAATAAGATTTGGAGTTTTCTTGAAGATGTCAGGAGCTATAAACAGAAGTGTGAACTCTTGCAGGTTTATTTAATCCTACAGCCGCTGAATCCTTATTTGCAGTAGTTTGAGGTATGCTACTTCTCATGCAAGCTCACTAAGTCTGAAGCTAGGACAGGCCAAAGGAAAAAAAATAATTTTTTTGTGATAAAACACAAATAAATTATATCTAATCCTGATCTGTAAAAATAAGTTTATTACTGAAGTTAAAAAACAAAATAATCAGAAGCGTATTCACAGATCAAAATAACATATGTAAGAAGCAGTGAAGAACCACCTCACAAAACTTTCAACTTGTTGCTCTTTAGACTTGAACCTTTCCTATTAGAAAAGTCTTGTGGATTAGTTGTACTTTAATCACTCAACTGCATGTTCCAACCAGCCAGCCACTTTTCTCCGAAAGGTGCATCATTTCATGTACGAAATCTCTGCCATTCAGACATAATCAAGTAAAGCAACCAAGACCCATGTTCCACATATAAACAGTTTTATAATTCCAGAATACTCTGAGGGACTACAGAGCTGTAGGAAAACAAAACAAAACACGCACACACACAAAAAGTTTTCAGGGGCTTAAGCTGCTCCTCTTTCATAATAAAGGCAATTTCACACAAAACTTCAGAAAACGTAGATGGCAAAAAGGAGGAAAAGAAAGTCTCAGTACAAGCAGAAAAACTACATTCTGAGCACAAAAATCACCTAATGTGTTAGCAGAATACGCAGCATTCAATTCTTCCTCTTCTTTTTGTGTGCTTGCATAAGAACTTTAAGCAAACAAATAGGATATAAAGTTCTTAATGTCTTCAGTTGAAAGAAACAATAGCATCACTTACCGAAAGATTGGTCTTTGGAGATGCTTTTTCTTGATTGTAACACAATCATCCATTTAAAGAGGGAAAAAAGACTTCTTCCAGTGAATAACTCCAAAAAGACCAGGGAGTAATCAAGAAACTTGTTCTTTGCTACTGTGCTGCAGAGAGCACACAGAATGATATTTTGGTGCTGGGGGAAGCCTCCCTCCCTCTTTCTGACAGTTGAGCAGAAAAGGGCCATAGAGGCCACATAAGACAGGCACGGCTGTGCACCAGCAAACCCTGCAGGCTGAGCAGAAACTGGAGGCAAGTTGATCAAAGCACGGAGTTGTACTGGATTCCTTTCAACTGTGCAGGAAAAAAAGGGGAGCTTTGCCAAGTGCTACCTAGGTAAAAATGTGTTAGATTATTCCAGCCATGCGAGCACTTCTTACACATGCTGGTCAAAGTCTTAAATGCAGAGTCACTCTCTCCCTCGCTCTTTAAAACACACTGTTCCGAGGCTCAACTTTTTTTCTTCAAAATAAAAGTTGTGCAGCTGTTTCAGCATTCCCATGCGAGTACCTTCAGAAAGTTTGTTCTGGTAAAAGAACTGTATACAAATTAATGAAGATGGATGGATCTGGTCTGTGAGGCTGGCTCCACTTCAAGAGATTGTAATTATTTTACAATCTGGCTTTTATTCACTCTGGATGATGTGTGGATATAACTATGTAAATTAAAGCACTGCTCATAATTTTTAGCATTCATAACCTAATAACCTAGAGTTGGCTGAAGCTGAATATGGTGTTTGCAGCTGGTAGAGCCATAACTACATAAAACAAACCGACGCTATGTGAATGAGGAAAACAAAGCTGACCAAGCTCTGATAGGGACAGTAGCAAACTGTTACTGTTTGCAAGATAAGATTTCAACAGAGATCCAAAGTCAAGAGCTTTCTCTGACATCATGCTGACATAAATCAGGAAGAATTCAACTGCAGCAAACAGAGGTTGTAAAGAAAACGGTAAGGCAGGAGCAGGATCGTGGCTCTTGATGGACAGGTCATGAGTGGCTCAGCTGAGCCACCATTTCCAGGGGACCTGCAGGGCTCTGTGACAAAGCACTGCTGGCACAGGGCCCAGCAGGAAGCATGAAGCCTGGCCAGAGAAGCAGAAAACAAGCATCGAGCCCTCGTCTGCATGCAGCTGCACAGCCAGGCTGCACAGCGCTGCAGAGCCCTGCTGCAGAAGAGGAAGGGCCCTGCCACACAGACCTTCCCTGCAACACAGCTCCCGCCTGCTCAGTTCTCAAAACGCACTTAGCATGTGTGAGGTGACGTTTCTGAGGTGTGACAAGTGGATCAGCAAGGCCAGGCATCTCTGTAAGAGGGAGAGCAGAAGAGCTGTAAATTTACATAGCTGGGTGTACAGCACTGGCATTATCAAATTAAGCTTGAGAGATGCACTAAGTCAAAAAAGCAAGATAGGTAACATTGAGACATGTCTTAGGCTGTATATATGACTAATTCACATATACATTATGGTAAAATTATTATGAATTTCACAAATTTTCATGAAATAATGATACGTAACAATGGAGAGATAACCAATATCATAATAATATGTGTTCTCATATATGAAAATATAGGAGTTTGGCAGATTTTATTGAAACAGATATAATTTCTTCCTAGAACTAAAATACATAGCTTAGAGATCAGCGTGGCAGTGCAAAGTTTGGTTAATCATCCCCACACTATATGGAATAACTGCCATGACACAGTCACAGCGCAATTATCCAAAGGAAAAATGATCACATGGCTGCTGATTCAGTTTTACCCTGCCCCACTGTTTGTTTCTGCTACTTTGAGGAGAGAGCGACACCTTCATTAGGACATCAGCTATCTTGATCAGATTACAGGTTAGCTTTTGCCAGGATCTTAAAGGATCTGAGGATCTTTCTTCAACAATATGCAGTGTTCAGGGTGTTGTCTTATTTATGAGCATTTCATACAGTCATGGTCTTACTTATTCTTGCCTGTCAAGACTCACATTTTTCTTCATGCATTCTTCCGGTTCTGGATTTCAGTTTTTCAAAATAATTTGCTGCTTTTTGAAGTATTCACTCACTGACTGTAGTCCAAGCTGCAAATCACAAAGAAATCTCCCTTTTCATTCTGTTTCATATTATGTGTGTAGGGCTGCTGTACTTCTGTTATCCAGAGGAATTCAGAATAATGATCTTGATATCTTCTGAAGCTTTCAGGGAAAAAAATCTTCAAGTCCTCAGTGAGAGCAATCCCAAAGATGTTTTTCCGTTGAACACAATCTTTCATCTTGTAGTTTTGCCAGTCCTGAAACCCCAAACACATCTTAAAAGTAGTTTTTTTTCTGGGCCTAGTCCAGTGAATGTTGTTGTCTGTGGGATTTCACTCAAGCATGGCACTGAAAAAAGTACTATTCAGGGGTGCTGAAATTCCAGCAGTACAATTACTTCAGCTACAAGGAATTCAAGAGTTGTTAACAAATATAAGAAAAACAGGAATATAAAATAGCAACAAAACTTTGATTTAATTGTATTGTTTTTCCTCTTCCAAACAGCCTTTTTTTTTTTTTTGCCCACTCAAGAGTTTTTGTTCAACATAAGAATCTGTTGTTTTTCTCATTAAAATATTCAGAAATCAGTTCAACTTGTTGACTGAGTATGCACACAAATTCTTCAAAAGAAAGGATTTTAAGAAAGATATGATAGATTAATTAGACTGAAGCCTCACAAAAATAGGGTTCCATCAACATGGAGATTTGTTGCAATAGTTATTTGATATCTAGTATTATTTCTCAAGCCAAAAGACACCATGTGAGCCAAACTATTTTACTCTGCTTGTTTTAATGCTACATTTTTCTCATTGATCTGTAGCTCATTGCCAGAAGTCTAGAAATGTAATTATTTTTCCTACTGTAATTTCAAATCTGTTGGCAATTAAGGCAGTAACTAAGAGGTTTGACATTTAAAGCTTTAATTCATTATATGCTATAATCTCTGTTCTGCTTCCATAATAAAGCGAGGGGTCAGATACTCTCCCCTGTTGTTTAAGAAGTAAGACAGCAAATGGAGAGCTAAGTTTCATGGGTCTGTTTATTTTCTGGATTGATTAGAATAGGGAAAAGGAAAAGAAAAAAAACATACTTCTACATACATGTGTTCATGTTTTTGAAATGGAGAGATTTGAAATATAAAAACCTAAAACAGGGCTTATCCCCAGATTGTTATTTTACTTTTCTGTACAGAATCTCTTAGCAGTTCATTGTTTAAGATTTTTGTAAAGAAAATAAATCACTAAGTAAAGCATGAACAGGAAACTTTACAGTAAGAAATCAGTGTATCTACGTATCTCCTAACAAGATTAGCATTTAGGTACTTAATATTACTGGATTAAATCAATTCCTTAAAGACTGCACACAGGCTGAGCATCTAAACACCATGCGTAAGAAACAGTAGAGGCTACAGTGAAATTTTTGAAATCCAAATATGCCACTACTGTCACACTTGCAAGGCCAACGCAAGGTCTCTCAAGGCATTTGAAAAGGCACTGTTATAGGCTGTTTGTGATAATGTAGGGGGTGTGCCTCTTAGCACCCCTTTTGCCTGCTTCCATTTCACAGGCAGGCACTCCTGAGCCAGTAAAATTGCCCAGCTATGTGACGTCTTGTACTGTCCCCAGACACAAGTTAAATGCTATAGAAGATGCTATGATAGCTTGCCACACAAAGGCTGAACTTAACACAAGCCTGTAATTCTTCATTTAAACTACTACCTTCTCAAATTGCAGTTGTATAATGGTTTAGTAGCTAAATAATAGTTAGTCACACTCTGCATATAGCTACCCATATTACTCAGCACAGGTCACACTGTCACAGATCAGCCTGAATGCTTTTTTCACTTAACAGCTCTATGAGGTAGGCATTAATCTTATTATGTTCTGCATACATAAGTGTGTAGGACAGTGTGTCAGTTTATTTCTTTGCGCTGACGTCAGCAAAATCCACTGAAGTTAACCTAGTGACTTCTCCATGCTAGAAAAACTAGAAAGAACTGGAGATAACTGTGACTCATTCAGAGCAGATAGAAAAGTTGGCAGTCGCTCCTGGTTCTACTATAGTGCAAGTGGTAAAGTTCTATACAAACAGTTGTGCAGGTCTTTAAGATCTGGCTTCCCTTTTGTCATGGTTCTATGTTACCCCTTATATGTAAGAATATTTATAAAATTGTGTTCTCTCTTGCTTTCCCTGTTTACATGCACACACAAACCAAGCAGAGGATTATCTCAGTGCCGTCACACAGGAGATTAATTTCCTTACTGAGACTTTCCTACTCAGAATACAGCACAGTAACTTGGTTTAAGAAGCTTCCCAGTTCTTCTCTTTTAATTTTATATTTTTCTACATCTTAAGGCCTGAAAAAAATCAGGGGCACTGTTGCACAGAAAAATCTATAGCACCTCATTCTTTAATACCTCTACAAATGTTCTTCATAAAAACTAGCATTCTGGGGGAGATGGGTCACCTAAAAGCCTCTGAGTCCCAGCGTGGTACTTCCCCAGAGTATCTGAGCAGTCACTTCCTTTTTCAGACTATTTTGGATGTAGTCAGTCATCACCTGTAATACTACAGAAGAGTTTCTCTGCTCCTGTAGGAGCAACTCCATAAGGTGACTCATCCAGCATGTCTTAAACACTAGAGGGTGTCCACCCATTGATGCTATTTTTCTTTCCCTCTCTTCACTGACCAGACTCTTAAACAGCTGGTTTAATCTAGAGGACAGGCTCACTGAAAATTATATTTTGAACTTGTATAATCATTTCACTGAGGCAGAAGTATTTACCAGATAATCTTCAAAGTAATGAAGATAACAAATTTTCCTGCACAACACTGAAGGATGGTATCTAGAGTCCCCCTACGTAACCATCAATGAAGAAGCATCTATCAGTTTTTTCTAACCAAAAGGCAACAGAATAGGTGTTAAGACAAGGAGACTAGTTGAAGCAGTTGTTGAAGTACAGACTGCAGCTCTGCAAAATATAGAACAGAAGCCAGAATACAGACCAAGGGACATACTCTGAAATACTTGACTATAGACAAATAGATACATGAGTAAATACATCTATGACATATAGACATTTATCCATCTGTAAATAGATATTGGAATTTATCAATACCAGGAAATGAATACCAAAAATATAAATAGCAATGTCTCATAAGGACATTGATTCTCCAGATCAATATAACTCTTCTGAAGACCATGAGCAGTATCACAGTTGTATTTTCAATCCTATTTGTGAATACTATGATTTTATATCCAGCATCTTTAGTGAACAGAGGTAAAGAGAAGAGAGGAAAGGAGGGGAAATAAAACGGATTTTCCTTTGGGATATATGATGCTAAATTAGCACTAAAATACACAAGTCAAAACATGGCATTCCTTGGTTTTGAGCCAGAACATTAGTATT